GATTCAACAAGTTACCAATTTAAATGTGATGCCCACTGATGAACTACAAATTTTTCTCCTGTTCAAACCGCCTGATACATAAATATGCCTTAAAATTGTAGTTTCCATTTGACTTCCAAAGTTCTTCAGTTGCCGTTCAGAAGTTTCCAAAAACTGTCAGTCAATTAGTAGACAAATATACTATTTTGCAGACGTAATTTCATCGCCTAGTCATACATAATACTCATTATCAGGTATCATATAATGTCAAATAAAGAACCTATTTATTTCGTTATCAATTGAATTCGTCTTTACAGTGCCATCTATTAAGCTTCTCAGTAACTTATTCCCTTTTCCATTCCTGTTTTTCCTAAAACCTTAAACTTCGCTGTTGCGTCTAAAATTGCAATCTTTTATTGCAATCTATAACATTCAAAAAAAAAAAAACCTGCATCAATTGACGCATAAGAGGCACATCAAACAAAGAGTGCTTTTTATAGCAAAAAAGGGAAATTTCTTAAAGGTTGAAATATCCATTAAAAAAATACTGATGTGTGAACTCTCAGTCTCTAGAAAAATTGTGTAGATGATGCGAGGCTGTTCAAACAACTAATAGGCAATGCTTTCAAAAAAGGACTAATATTGTATACGTCAAGAAAAGCATAAATCTGCACCGTCGTCTGTGTTTTAAGAAAAATTCGGCTTTTTAAGGCACCCATTACATTATAAAAACTTATGACACCGTAAAAATTGTAGTTTCAAAAAAGTATTGATCCGACAAAGAAAAAGCAGAACCCCTCCTCCCTCCCGTCTTCTTTGATTTAGTTCCATGCATTTATTTACAAATTATAGCAATAGTACTTCTGATTTTTCAATAGGTTTTCACGCTTCTTTGCTCCACTACGGCCGTACAACGTTTGCTATCTCGTTGATATCCACCACAAAACGAAGCAAGTCAATCAGGATTCCGCTTCATCCAGAAACACTCAAAACTTTGTCAATTCCACAGCTCAATCTTTGTCGCTTCATCGAAACAACTGCGGTTGTCCTGCGATAACACGCTACGGCCTAAATCCATACCACTGCTGTCGTGACATCACTTTCGGCTGTCATTTTCTAACAACTTTTAGTCACCAGTTAACCTCTAGAATCCAGTTTCTGCAAAGCTCCTCTGCTGAGAAACAACCTCTGATCTTTTCTTTCAACTTTACCAATACTCTGACTCTAATCTTATCTAGCTGTTTAATTACTGTTCTACAGCCCAGCAGCAATTTTTTCTCCGAAACCCCAATAACAGCAAGCCTTTGCAATCTTCGCAACAACCAACCAACCAAACGAGTTTTTTCGCACCTTTCTAACGTATTTTTATTTGCATCACAATAATTTGCCCTACGCAGTCGTGAAAGTCCAAACAAAATAAGTTTTAATAAAAATCGATAC